CACCCATCCTCTTCCCCACCCCCACGACAGTCACGATAAACCGACGATGCCACGCCACCCACGACGACGACGACAACCCCACATGACCCCACAATGGCGACGACCACCAAGCGACGAACAGCGACAACCACTGCCAGTGACGTGGCAACCAAACAGATGACAACAACAACACCACCGCTATGCACGAGCACCCACCACCATCCAGACGGCATCCACCACCATCCACGACGACCACGTGAACGCCGCAACACCACGTCACAAATCAAACAAGCCCCCCACGGCACGATGGCAACGATGCCCACGACAACAACAACGTCCACGGCTACGACGACGACACACGACAATGACAACGCGACAACAACAACTAGTGTTTGAAAGTCCGGTTCAGTCCGGTTTTTTGATGCCCAGGGGCGTTAACCGTAACCGTAACCGGTCTGCCTTTTCCCCAGAAGTCAAAAGACCAGACCGGACCGCAAAAAGACCGCAGACCGCGGTTTTTTGCGGTCTATAGACCGGTTTCGGTCTGCATCGGTTTTAACCGGTTTATGACCGGTCTTTAGGCCAATATTTAAAAATTATGAATCGGTAAATTTATTAACATCTCTAATAGCTTCAAAACGAGCCCAAGAACGTTAAATACCGTTAGGAATTGGTGCTTCTATAAAATAAGTCTGGTACATCTATTATTCCCAAAAGTAATTTACATTTTAATTCATATCTCTCTCGTTTTTTTACCAAATCGTACGTTCTTGGGTGCGTTTTAAAGGGTATTTAAGGGGCTACAAAAGACCGGTCCAAACTGGTCAAGACCGGTTCACGTTAACCGGTTTTTTTGCGGTCTTTACATTTCAAAAATAAAAGACCGTAACCGCAGGTCCGGTCTTTTGCGGTCTTGGTCCGGTCTGGTTACGGTCTTTTTCCAGTCACGAGACCGGACTTCCAAACACTAACAACAACAACACAACAACAACAACACAACAACAACCACGTGACAACGACCACACAACAACGACAATGCGATGTCGTCCACACGACAACATCCACAACTACAACGACGGCACATGACGACATCCACGCAACGACGACAACGCGACGACGACCACACAACGACGACAATGCAACGACGACCAAGCAACGACACAGGATGACGACGTCGATGGACGACAAGGCCCAGCACTACCCCCTTCCCCTTTATTATCACACCCCCACACCACTCCCTGTCCCTTCCCTCCCTTCCTTCCTTCCTGCCTCCCTCCCTCCCTTCCTCCCTCCCTTCCTCCCTTCCTTCCTCCCTCCCTCCCTTCCCTCCCTCCTCCCTTCCTTCCTCCCTTCCTTCCTTCCTTCCTCCCTCCCTCCCTCCCTCCCTTCCTTCCTCCCTTCCTTCTTCCTTCCCTTTCTTCCTCCCTCCCTTCCTTCCCTTTCTTCCTCCCTCCCTTCCTTCCCTCCCTTCCTTCCTTCCTCTCCCCCTCCACCCTTCTCTTCCTGCCCCTTCATTTAACTTAGAAAATAGTAAATTAGATGTATATTTGAGTTTCAATATATAAAATTTGAAATATATAAATGTTATAAGAAAGTATTCATGCCCTTTAAGTCAGTGTGAATAAGTGCATATTAGTGTAAATGTATCTAGCAAAAAGGAAAGGTGTTGTATGGGTCATATTCTGGTCCCATTCCTGTGGATTCCTGCAGATTCCGGTGCCATTCCTCCAGATTCCTGTGGATTCCGGTGCCATTCCTGCGGATTCATGTGGATTCCGGTGCCATTCCTGTGGATTCCTGTGGATTCCTGCAGGAATGGGTGGGGCACTGTAAAGTACTGCATGAACAGCCCACCAACACACCACACCAACGTCAACAAGTGCCCACCACCACAAGCGCCCACCAACGAAAACGAGCGCCCACCAACGTCAATGACCCCACGCCAACGACGACCAGCGCCCACAAAAACGACCGCCCACGGACGTCCAGCGACCGCAAACGACGTCCCTGCCCACGAAAATGATGTCCACCGCCCATGAACAACGCCCACCACCAACGATGTCAACCGCCCATGAACAACGGCCACCACCAATGACGTCCAACGCCCACTGCCCACCAACGACGTCCCCCGCCCACGAAGACGACGTCCGCCACCCACCCACTGCCCACGAAAAACGTCCCCCGCCCACAAAACAATGTCCGCCGCCCACGAAAAACGGACACCACCCACGACGATAACGTCCACCGCCCACGCAAAACGTCCACCGCCCACACGAAAACGCCCACCGCCCACGAAAACACCCACACAACAACATCCACCGCCCACGCACGAGCGTGTTGTCAATGCCCACAAACGAAGACGAGCGTGAATGGACACGGGCAAGGGCGAGCCGAGGGAG